TGGATATCGCGACGAAAGTGGATAAATTAGCGAGTTGACGAGGGCAGATNATATATATATATATATGAAAGGAACAAAGTGAATAGGGTTTTTATTATCGTCTCTCTTCTTTTGTTTTATTTTAACGCTCGCTCGCTCGATCTGATATTACGGATAATCGTATTTCTCTCGTGTTGCCGGTGTATAGTGTATATTTCTCCTACGTGTCCGCCTACGATTCCAGGCGACGAGAAACTGGGTAGAAAGTGTTTGTACCCGATAGAAATAATAATAACGACGTCGGAAGTTCGATGCAACGTGACGAAACGTGACTCCTTTCGGATTCGTTTCGATCTCTAGATACAAACCGATATCGCTCTGATATCTTACGATCTTCAAAGGGAAGGGAACCGATTTTTTCGAGTCGAAAAAAAAAGAAAAAAAATATCCATATCCGGTAAAAGTCACGTTTCAGAAACGTCTGTCTATCCACGATTAATCAACGGCTTTAATCCTTTCGCGAAACAAGGATCGAGTAACTAACCGCCAATCATTGCTTATTGTGTTCCAGGCAACGAGAAAGATTTCAAAATGCGGATACCTGTTCGTCGCCCCGGGCTGGGACTTCTCCAATCCGCTGAATCGCACGAAGGTAAGAAAAATCTTGGGCCCAATTGAAAATCTTTATCCTCGGGCCGTTTCATCACCGGCGGTTGATATATATGTATACGGTTGGTTATAACGCATTTAAAGGTTTAAAGGCCGCGGAAGCGACGGTGAAACGATCGAACGGCGGCGGGGATCGGAAATAGTCCGCGTCTGGGCCATCGATCACTTCCGTCCCGATACCTCGGGCCACGAGCTACGCGTTATCGACAGTCTATGATCGCGAGATCGTGTTACAAGATCGATCGAACCGCACAATTTTCTCATTATCGAGAAAGCGAGGATAACCGTACCGATCTTCCCCTCCCCCCGACGCGCTGAAACGATCGATACAATTTTTATTTTCTCTTCCCCCTTCTTTTCCTCTCCCATCGATTCGTTTTGTTATACCGTCAAACTATGGAGGAATTGCGAAAAATGAAACGTAGATCCGATTTTAAAAAAGATTTAAAAAAGAAATTAATAGAAGTTAATATTGCAAAGCATCGTTTTTTAATTCTTTTCTCCAGTGTTGGACAATATATAGATTCTCTGTTTTAATTTCGCGGGCAAATTTCCTCTCAAAGTGCTGAAATAATCGATACAATTTTTATTTTCCCTTCCTTCTTCTTTTTTCCTCCCATTGATCCGTTTCTCTTTGTTATACCGTTAAACTATGGAGGAATCGCGAAAAATGAAACGTAGATCCGATTTTCTTTCTTTCTTTTTCTTTTTTTTGTTTTGATGCAGAAAAAAAATTAATGGAAGTTAATATTGCAAAGCATCGTTTTTTGATTCTTTCTTCCAGTGTTGGACAGTATATAGATTTTCTGTTTTAATTTCGCGGGCAAATTTCCTCTCAAAGTGCTGAAATAATCGATACAATTTTTATTTTCCCTTCCCCCTTCTTTTCCCCTTCCATCTATTCGTTTTGTTATACCGTCAAACTATGGAGGAATTGCGAAAAATGAAACGTAAATCCGATTTTAAAAAATTAAAAAAAAAATTAATAGAAATTAATATTGCAAAGCATCATTTTAACTCTTTCCTCCAGTGTTGGACAGTATATAGATTCTCTGTTTTAATTTCGCGGGCAAATTTCTTCTCAAAGTGCTGAAACGATGGATACAATTTTATTTTCTCTTTTCTTTTCCTTTTCTATCGATTTCCCTTCGTTATACCGTCGAACTAGGGAGGAATCGCGAAGAGAAGTTAGTGGAAGTTAATATTGCAAAGTATCGTTTTTCTTTTTTATAAATGTCAATAGTCGAAATCGTTTCACGTTGATCGTCCAAGAATACGCAACAACTGTTGTATTGGACTCCAGTATACAGATTCTCTCTCTTAATTTCGCGAGCAAACTTCTCTCCAAATGTTTCTCTCTCTCTCTCAACCCGTTGAAACGATCGACAAGATTTTATTTCCTCTTTCTCTTCCCCCTCCACCAACGCCAATTTCGCTCTACGAAACAAGCCTTTCGTTTCAACTTGGTCCACAAACTTCGTCCTCTCGACACGTTCGAAACGATCGATTCAATTTTATTATCCCCACTAATGCCCGACTTCGTTCTACGAAACACGCCTTTCGATTCAATTTCATCCACGAGTCTCTCTCTCTCTCCCTCTCTCCCCGTCAGATCTTCTTCTTTCAACAACTCTGAAACGATCGATATAATTTTATCTTCCCTCCTTCTATCGAGCAGCACAACAATTTCGCCCCGAGACGAAACACGTCTTTCGTTTCAATTTCGTCCAATTTCAACTTCTTCTTCGCAGATCTTCTTCCTTCGAACAAGTTCGAAACACGATGATACATTTTTATCTCTCCCCCTCCCTCCCGAACATATCGATTTCCACCTCTACGGAAACACGTCTCTCGTTTCAATCTCTCGTCCATCGAGCGCAATACCCCTTCTTTTCCCCAGTTTTGCAGTGAACTTCTTGCACCGACCGTCGTCTACGTGACTGCGAATTGTAAACAGTCGGATCGATCCGCTTTTTCTCTCTCTCTCTCTCTCTCTCTCTTCTTTTCCTCCCCGGTTTTGTATTTACGATCGAGCACCACGGATCGATTCCTTTCTAAACTTTCTCCCGCGATCCTTGAACGCTTACGTACGATCGAATTTTTAGCCCCGTCCCAGGATCGATAAGACGGGACGACACCACCCGATTTCTGCGCCGTCTTCTGCTTTACTCGAGTCTCGAGGACGAATGGCCTCCTCGAGAGTCCTTCGTCGAGATCTATCGTTTATCATTTGTGTTACATTAATTTCTGTTATCTCCACGGAAGATTCCTCTTTTCCGCGAGTTTGTCGGTCGATTGGCTTTAAGAGAGAAATCGGTGTCCTCGAAATACGTAGATGGAGATATCGTATTGGTTGTCGAGCTACTGCTTCGCTTGTGCAAATTGAAAGTTAATAACTCTTTTCGTTCGTTCGATTTTACATACTTTTTACGTTTGTCCTCGCTTGATCCTCGGTTAAGTTTTTAACACCTTTTTCAACACCTCGATAGATATTGCAAATTTATTTATTTTATTATTATTATTATTATTATTTATTATATTATTATTTATTTTATTAATTTTATCAATCAATATTAATCGTATCCACGAAGTAAGTGGAATTGAGATATTTCTAATTCCTTTTTTTTTTATTTGAAACAAACACGTTTGATCACGTAGCGAGGTTTAATATTTTTCGAGTCGAGTTTTCATTGAATCCGAGCGACCGGTTGTTCGGAAACAATTTCCTGATCGAGCCGTCATCACGAGGGAAGAGTTATCGCGCAGCTCGAATCGATTAGAAGCGCGTATATTGTTATTATAGTACACGCTTCGAGATTCGATCGGCGGCGTTGATTCGATGCGTGAAGAGCGAGTTTAAACGATCGATTATCGAATCGAGGGGACTCGAGATTGTCGAAGAAAGAGTAGTACGAGTAGAAAGCGGTTTCATGGACGGCCGTGTTTGGCCTCGATCAACACACTCTCCCTTGATTTCCTATGACAGCTGTCACTGCTCTTTTTTTCCTCTCTCTCTCTCTCTCTCTTCCTTTCCTTTTTCCCGCGAATAATGGAGAGAGATTCCTCTTCCGGTTCGGATGATGCTGGTCGAGGAACGCCTCGAAGAAGGCGCTTTTCAACAAGGAAACGAGAAAGGAGAGGAGAGGGAGAGTATAATATTTATTACGATTGTGGAAAAGTGGATACCTTGATCCCGGTGTCGTTTCCATTATGACGGATGACTCGTCGTTTATTGTTTCTATCTTATGCAACGCTTGGGAGTTGTGTAAATCTACGAATGGAGTTCAAAGGAAGGAAGGAAGGTTTTTTTTTTCCTTCTTATTTTACGAGAAGAAGAATGGTGTATGCAAGAAGTTTCAAACATCTGTTAGGAGTTGGGAGAAGATGATATATCGAAGAATACGGAAAGGATAATAGATAATGTTCCGCCGCTATTTATTATCGCCTTGCTTATAACATTTGCAATAACGATGAAGCAAAGAGTGTAAATAAAAGATATACGCGGGATCGAATTAAGGAAATGTGTTTGTGGAAGAATAAAAAATTTTTCTTTCCTCATCGAGGAAGAAAGGGAGTAGGAAGACTAAACAATGGGGACAAAGTGCGTCGAGAGAGTTACAAAATAGATAAGAATAAGTTTGCATAACCGCGAGAAAAAAATCACCCCGATTCGAATTTATCTCTTACGTCACTAAACGGCCGTATATCATCCCGAAACGCAGAAAGAGAGAGAGATATTAAATTCCAACGGTTTAGAGCCCTATCCATTCCGTAAATTACTCTCATTAAACGCCAGCTATAGCGAAAAGGATATACGCCACGTGTATGATATAATAACTCTCCCCTGATTTATCTCGAATTCAGACGTCGTTTCGTTCTAATCGAATGTAAAAAAAAAAGCCTCCAATTATTTCTCCAAACTGGCGCCTTCAAACCGCCACGAATGAAAAATTTGAAAAGAAACGTGTATCTAATTTCGATCAAATTCAAATACGAGAGATTTTTCAATTCTCTCGTAAAAAGAATAATCGAGGGAGGGACGAAAGAAAAATAAGAATTTCTAAGAAATTATATCGATATTTGAGGAAGACTAATCGATACGTTGTTTTGGAAAACATTTTTCTTTTTTTTCGAAAATATTAATATCATTTCAAAAAGACACGTGTCTTTCTTTATTATATACTATCATATATTCTTTTCGAGAAACTAGCCAACTAACTAACTAACTAACTAACTCTCGTATAAATTTCATTCGAAATCAGTGTGCGCGCGTGCGTGTGGTTTTGTATACATTGGCTTGTTAGGCAGGGGATCGTTAGAAGGGCGGGATAAACGAGCGGCGAGACGAGACGAGACAAGAAGAACCCGGAAGCCTGGGAATCGGCCCCGAGTCGTATTGTCGTATCCGACCGGTTGGAAACTATCGTCGAAATTACATCGAGCGGGACGCGAGCCTGTAAATCTCGTTCGTTTCACCGCGAGACGTCGGAGAAAGTGAATAATTAGAAGGCGCCTTAAGGCTTTAAAGGCCTTTAAAGAGTTGAACGACGAAACGGTGCGTAACAGGCCGCCAATCCTCTCCTCGGCATCGACTCCTTAATTAAGTGGATCTTGTTTATTCACGTTAATTCCGTCACGTAGATTTTTCACCCCTTTATCCCTTAAAAGGATAAATAATATCGATTGAATCGAACGGTTTATCGTCGATGAACGATATATTTCGAAATTCGTAGGCAGTGAATTAGGAATTTCAGAGGATTTTTTAAAAGTTTCGATCGATTTGAGAAAACACGTTGCGCGCGTGTCGTAATCGAGCAAACGAATATTGCAAAGATGGCCTCGTCGTAGTAAGATAAAAGATTTCATCGATAAGGCAATATTTTCCATTACGATTAAAAAGAGTCACGATTTCTCGATCTTTCAAAATCGTTTTCGAGGCTTCTGAACTTCTCTTCCGTGTTTTCCTTATATATTTATCGAATG